ATAACATTATAAATTTATTTATCGATAGTATTTATTACAGTAAAGTTTAGTCCTAACTAAACTAAAGTAAACGACAACAAAAAAAAATACATAGGTTACAGTGTTAATTTATCTCTTTATCGAACTTAGGCCTGACATAAGTTAAAGTTTTATAAAGTACGGCCTATATACACATTTACACATTTCGTTGTGAGTCCCCCAGTGGCACAGCGGCATGTCTGCGGACTTACAACGCTAGAATCCCGGTTTCGATACCCGTGATGTTTTGCGGGTATATGCTAGTTATCATAAAACCTGAGATTTGATGCAATCGATTTACTTGAAAAAGACACAGTTCAAAACAATAACATAAGTTAAAATTTAGAATTTTTCATAATGAAGCATTTATGTTCAAAAGGGTTCACATGAAAATTGGCATAGACATGCAAATAGTTTTTCAAAGTAAGTCTCCTGGTTAGAATTTTCTTAATTTTCTTAATGGGGAGGTCAGTGGCTTTTTAGAGAACCTTAGGATTGGCTACACGGATTTACTTGAAAATTTACAATTGTTATCAAAAACAAAGCGTGGAAAGATTTTGTTTGGTTGTTTTTAACAGTGAATATTCAAGTGTAATATATTAGTATACTATATTAGGAGGAACAAAACGAAGAGTTAGAACTGTAAGGATAGCTGTGACTTATTTAATTATTGTCTAAACGTAATTACGTATATTGTTTGAATACATTTATGATTAATAAGATTAAGGATTATGAATATTTATCCTACTAATTCCATGAAACTATTAATGGTCAGCGTGAAATGTTCTGTTTATTTTGATGTTAGTGATGATGTGCCTAGGATTAGCAGCTGGTTTGAATGAAAATGATCCTGCTTCTTTGAAAGAAAACATGACACAGGTAATTTTTAAAATGTTGACTTTCAAAACGTATTTCGTAATTAGAAGCGCACTACAAAGATTTAATAAAGCGGCAAAATATTTAATAGTCCCAATAGGTGTTCATTCAACTTACATCAGATGCGACCTATCTGTTAGCTAGGCTTTTCAAAGATTGGTTATAAACATGTTTTGTTCTGCGTAAGATATTTGATAAAATGTAAGTACTTATGACATTGAATATCTAAGGAGACGTTTCATTGATAAGCCAGCAACTACTTTTAAATCAGAGAATTGAAAATCTATTTTTAAATTAAATTGTAAAATAAGGATGTTTTAGGCCATTCAAATGTTTTTTGTTTGTTTGTTTTTTGTCAAGTAGAATTTGTTTCCTCATTTCAGAGCCTTATGACTCTCTGGCTTTTTTAAACAGATCTAAGACTCAGCTCTTCATTATCTTGGATTTACATTAAATCACATCTATTTATATTGAAAATCAATTTAGCTGGTCCTTAGTATGGTCCTTTTTAACCAATGGGAATGAATATTGCTTTAAAAACTCTGTTGTTTTCAAACCTTTTTCTTCACTAAAGTGAACACATGTGGGTTACATTACGATTTTCAAACGTTTAAGTATAAAATAATATTAAGAAAATCTACTTCCTAGACATTTTATTCTCTAAAATGATTATATATATGTATAATTTTTTTTTAGTTTCAAGAACAACTGGGCTTTGAGGAGCAGGAACCACCAGAAACTCCAGAAGTTATTGCACTAGGTCTTCCATCATGGGCTAGTCTCCTCATCTATCCTATTGACGTTACTTTCTCCTGTTATGGAAAACCCTTTGGTTACTATGCTGATCCAAACAATGAGTGCAAGATCTATCATGTCTGTAGACCAGTAACAGATAATGCTGGTAATGTCAAGCAGTATCTTAGGTATAGTTTTGTCTGTCCCAACCAAACTGTGTTTGACCAGCATAGTTTGGTGTGTACCTATCCTCATCAGGCTGTACCATGTAGCAATGTTTCTGAGTACTTGTACGTGAATGAGAATTTTGGCAAACAAGGTCCAGGACCTGAACTTACAATGGCACCTGGTGATGTTTCTTCGTCTCGTCTTGTTCCTGACACTACTGGTAATTACAACGATATCACTGCTAATCCTTTACCATCAGGGCCAACACCACCAGCTTGTATATTTTCTCCTACTGATGATTCTCCAATTCCTTGTAGATTTCCTTTACCCGAGAACTCTTTCTTTTGTAAGTTTGTTTCAGAAGTAATAATCGAGTGCATTTCCAAACAAACAACTACTAATAACACATCTACTATACAAACAATGTCTGGCCCCGTTCTGTCTACACAGCCATTAAGTCCTGCAGAGCCTGTTCCCTCTAGTGCACCAATACAAACTTTCGGCCATAGTCCTGCAAATAATTTCACACAATTTGGAAAAGGATCATTTTTTTGCAGATATATAGAGAATAAATTAACTTCATTTACATGTAGCCACCAGGAAGAATTATCTATACCAGACGACGGAGAAAAAAATGTTCAGCCACAGTTTATCTGTACGTATATATCTGATTCTTATTTTACAATAATATGTACACACATAGGCCCTTTTCGTTTTTCTATGCCAGTAAATCCAAACACATCATCCTTGTTATCAACTAGCACTGACACTGAAATTTCACATACCTGTTTCTGAATTGGGAACAAAAGTTAAAGGCCTAGATGCAGTTGGCCCAGTTCTTGACTCAGTTAAATCAGCTTCATTACCTGTTTCATTTCCAGTTAATATACCATTAGTTTCAGACGCACTTAGTCCAACTCCAGGTATTACTGTTCCAGTTTTAAATACTGTAGCCAGAAAGGCAATAGGTGCAGATCAAAACTCCACAGTTTTTAATCCACACTTTACCATGTCAGTTCAAGATGCTTCTGGACCAATTTTCAGTCCAGCAGTACCAGTTACTAATCCACTCAAACATGGTCCAGGTCTAATCTCAGAAATTTCAGCCTCAAGCCCGAACCCAGAAGGTTTTGTTTCAGGAACTGCTTTTCCAAACCTATCTCAATATGGTTCAAGCCTAAGCACAAGTGAGCCAGAAACAAAGTTATATGATTCAACAGCAAGCACAATAGTTTCAATTCCAGGTCAGTCTAGTTTGGCTTCAAATCCAGTTAAAAGCTCAGTCATTGCTGCTCCAAGCTCTGTTGCTCCAAAAGACATGGCTAACCAATATCCAATCTCTATTGTTTCAGCTAAAGGTTTAGTGGATCATTCTTTAGATTCCATTTCTAAAGTTAAAACTCCAACCAATGTAGCTTTAGATTCAGTTATTCCATTTAAAGACATTGATAGTCCAGATTCAAACTTTGTTGCTCCAGTTCAAGATCTAGTTAATCCAACTATAAATCCTGCTGTTCCACTTAGAGGTTTAGTCGATCAGAATTTAGGCTCCGATGCTATAGTCAATGACTCAGTCAATGTATCTTTATATCACCATGTTCCACTTAAAGACTTACTCAATCCAACTTCAAGTCCTATTACTTCAGTTCAAAGTACATTCAATCCAGATATAGGACCTGTTGCTCAAGTTAAAGATTTAGCTGATCAAACTTCTGGATCTGCTACTATAGTTAAAGACTCAGTTAACCTAGTTTTAAATCCTGTTGTTCCACTTAAAGCCCTGGTTAGTCCATCATCAAGCCCTGTTGTCTCAGATCAAGGTCCATTCAATTCAACTATAGGTCCTATTTCTCCAGTTAAAGAGTCAGTTAATCCTCTTCCAGACCCTTTATCTACAATTAAAGGCTTATTCCATTCAGATACAAGCTCTATTGCTCCAACAAGAGAATTAGCCAGTTTTGCTTTGAATTATGATGCTCCAGTTGAAGATTCAGTATTTCCAGTTTCAAGCTCTATCACTACAGGGAAAGATCCAGTAATTTCAGATACAGACCCTGTTACATTAATTAAGGTCTCAGTCAATCCAACTTCAGGCCTTGTTAGTTCAGTTAAAACCTTAGATAGTCCAGTTCCAAGCTCTGTTGATCAAATTAAAGGCATTTTTACTCCAATTTCAAATCCTGATACCATAATTAAAGACTCAGTGAACGAGACTCCCAGTACTGTTGCCCCAGTTAAAGAATCATCCAGTTCATCTTTAGGCCTTGTTGCGCCACTTATAGATTCAGTTAGTCATGCTTCCCGCCCATTTTCATCACTTAAAGGCTCATTCAGTTCTGTTGCTATAACTAAAGACTCAGAAAATTCTGCTCCAAGACTTCTTGCTGCAGATGAAATTCCATTTAGTCGTGCTCCAGAATTCAATGCTCCAAATAAACCTTTGGTCAATTCATCCCCATCCCGTTTTGTTTCAATTTTAGATTCAGACAGTCAATCTTTAGACTCTGTTACTTCATTTCAAGACTCCATCAGCACAGCTCCAGGCCAACTTGCTTCAGGTGAAACCTCAGAAAATCCAGTTTTGCGAAAAGGCGTTTTTATTCTAAATAAAGGCCCTTATTTTCCAACTAAAGACTCAGTTAGACCAGTTCAAGATTTTGTTAGTTCAGGTGAACGCTTAGTCAACTCAACTATAGTCCCTGTTACTTCAGTTAAGGGTTTTTTCAGACAAACTCAGGGCCATCTTGCTTCAGATAAAGGATTTTTCAGAGCAGCACAAGCTCATACTGCTTCAGATAAAGGATTTTTCATATCAGCACAAGAACATGTTACTTCAGTTAAAGGATCTTTTAGACCAGCACAAAAACATCATGCTCCATTTAAAGGAATTTTCAGACCAGTTCAAGACCATTCTTCTCCAGTTAAAGAATTTTTTAGGCAAACCCAAGACTATGTTACTTCAGTTAAAGGTTCTATCAGTCCAGCTTCAAGCCCAGTTTCTCCAGTTAAAGACTCTTTCATTCTTCCTACAAGCCTTGTTTCTTCAGCTGAAGGCCCAATTACACCAGTTCAAACGTCTGTTGATTCAGATAAATTCTTAGCTAACCAAGCTGTTGTCCCTGCTTCTTCAGTTAAAGGTTTATTTACAAGTGCTAAAGACCCTGTTACTTTAACTAATAATTTTTCCATTTCTGCTGCGAGCGCTATTGCTCCAATTAAAGACACATTTATACCAATTCACAGTCATGCGGATTCATTCAAAGACCCATTTAGACCGACTCAAGGCTATGTTGATTCATTAAAAGGTTCGTTTAAATCAATTCAAGACAATGATGATTCATTTAAACCAATTCAAAGCCATGCTGATTCATTCAAAGTCCCATTTAGACCAATTCAAGGCCACATTGATTCATTAAAAGACTCATTTAGAACGACTCAAGGCCATGTTGATTCATTAAAAGGTTCGTTTAGACCAAATCAAGGCTATGCTGATTCATTTAAAGACTTGCTTAGACCAACTCAAGTCCATGTTGATTCATTAAAAGGCTCGTTTAGACCAAGTCAAGGCTATGCTGAATCAGTTAAAGGTTTACTTAGATCAACACAAGGCCATGTTGATTCATTCCAAGACTCATTTAGAGCAAATAATGACCATCTTGATTCACTAAAAGATTCATTTAGACCAAGTCACGGCTATGCTGACTCGTTTAGATATTTGCTTAGACCAACACAAGGCCATGTTGATTCCTTCAAAGACTCATTTAGAGCAAATCATGACCATCTTGATTCATTGAAAGACTCATTTAAGCTAAGTCAAGGCTATGCTGATTCAATTAAAGGCTTATTCAATTCACATTTATACCCTATCAACCCAGTCAAAAAATCAACTAAAGGCTCAGTTAGAGCAGCTTCACACACAGTTGCACTGGCGAGAGACCAAACCAGTTCAACCCCAAACCTAAACGATAGAAATACAAGATATTTAATGCTCTATCCAGAACTTGAATTTCCTAAGACAAACACTTTCCCGTGTGTTTACAATAGCTATAATCCATTTTCTCGGTGCATTTACAAAACTAAAAACCAGTATGGAATTCTAGGACCTAATCATCAGTTTTATAAAAATATCCCTCTGTAGCATTGTAAACGAAGGCTTTTTAATCGTTCAGATTGAGCCCATTAGTTTCATTCAAGGCCTATTTCTATTTCATTTTAAATAAACCACGTGATTGTTACTGTCGATATTTTGGTAAAAAGTAAAAAGGGCCTAGCCTTACGTAATTAATTAATAAATAGAAATCTTATTATATGATGTAGTCATTCTTACTGAGTTGTACATATTTTATAAGGACGTGTTTTTAGAATAAAACTGTATACGTGATGGCTTGTAATAGCTATATTAAATATATATATCAAGTGTGGAGAGTGTATTGATGTGTTTTGATTTAATTAAGAGATAATTTTTAGAATAAAACTGTATACGTGATGGCTTGTAATAGCTATATTAAATATATATATATCAAGTGTGGAGAGTGTATTGATGTGTTTTGATTTAATTAAGTGATAATTTTCGACCATTTTCTTAAGCGTTAAGATTTCTGCACAAAAAAACATCTAATGCTGGTTATGAATTTATATGACCTAATTGCGAAGTTAGGTATGTAAGAGTAAAATGATGTAACTTTAAGGACTTTTCCTATTAAGGGTCAAACTTGTTAGCTTGAGATAACTTAAAATTGCACACGTCCTGATCAACCAACGTTTTACATTTATCAGAATACATACATGATAGAATAATTTGTTTTGTTTTTTACATCCCTCCCCCGTAAAATAACGTATTTTTCATGTTTGGAATTGTTTGGAGAGATACATCTTTGTATGTTTATTTCTTCTTTTACGTGTACCGTGTTTTAACTTTTTGGAAGCTGTAGATTTAGGTTAATAAAGAAAAACTATCTTTACAAAAACAATATGTGTGGTAAATGTCAGAGATGTTTTGCTATGAAATATTAAATGACTTCCGAATTGCGGTATCAATTTCGACTCATTAATACCGTATCAGGACAATGTTGACTGAAATTTGAACCACTACTATTGTACAGCATTTCAACAGACACTTTCCTTGGCTACTATTGTTTTACCTGATATTGTAAAGAAGGCTGGGAAATTTCTTCTAGAAATAAAACCAGAAGGTGGATTGATATAAAAAATGGTCAAAATGTTCCAGCGATATTAAAGTTGGAAATCAATCTTAGTGTTGGAAGCTTCTCTACACCAGGTGGTGTTCGGTAATAGACTTTATTCGGAAATATAAATGGAAGTTCAGACTTGCTTGACATATTTTTACAATTTTACATAACAGAATTAAACATTTTCTTTAAATTCTACATAAAATATAACAATCCATTTAACATATAAAAAGTGTTAAATAGCACTAGACTTACCCTCATTTTGCATTCAACTTGTTGATTATTTAAGGTCATCTATTTGCTAAATTGACAGAGCTTTAAACTTTTAGCAGCCTTTGCAAATAATATAGTGATTTAAAGGTTATGTTCTTTATTTTTTGCTGAGTGATAATTATAATCAAGCTGTTTGTATTAATGTTGAAGTAAGACATATTAAGCACATAATAGGCTCAATATGTCTTCATCTCGATTTACAACTAAGACAGTCTTAATAGAAATTTTTTATTTTTCAAGATATGAAAATGAAGGATGGAATTATTTCTATCAACTAAGACACCAAGTTTCCACAGGATTACTACACAAAATAAATATTTGTACTTTATAGAAGTGATTTTTA